AGAAGTGTTACTAGGATGATACTTGGGATGAAAAGGTTTCAGAGAAGGGTTACTAGTGTGATACTTGGGATGAAAAGGTTTCAGAGAAGGGTTACTAGTGTGATACTTGGGATAAAAAGGTTTCAGAGAAGGGTTACTAGTGTGATACTTGGGATGAAAAGGTTTCAGAGAAGGGTTACTAGTGTGATACTTGGGATAAAAAGGTTTCAGAGAAGGGTTACTAGGGTGATACTTGGGATGAAAAGGTTTCAGAGGACGGTTACTAGGGTGATACTTGGGATGAAAAGGTTTCAGAGGACGGTAGTGGGATTGACCGTCACATTATAACCCCCCCACGGCTGAAAGGGCGAGCATGTTTGGTGTGACAGGGATTCGAACCCGCGACCCACAGATTGCGAGTCGAGTGCCTTAACCACCTGGCCATGCCGGGCCTGCCACTGGGGGGCATATTCATGTCAGTGACACCTACGTAAGTTTTACGAACTATGAACCATAATAGTTCTATGGTACAAATACTGCTGAAATCGGCAATCATTTTGTAATGAATATTCATCACTAAAGTAATAAAGATGGATGTATTCTTGCTGTATAGAAATCAAGTGTAAAAAAACGTTCTTATGTCTCAGGAAACTGCACAGCTTCTACCTTTAGGTTATGGATTTTTTTAACACTTCACTTGTACAGCTTCGTTTTCTCGGTTCAATAATTTTCATTCTGCTACAGTCACACAAAATCAATTCGCTGTCGAGCACGCCTAATTTGTTTGATGAAAACCCCCCTGGTGGACGAACAAGAAAAGTAACGGTAGACAAACTAGAACCCTGATGCCTGGTCTTATCTAAGAAAGTTATCTCCACAGCTTCATATACTGAATTTGGTAAGCATAGAAGGCAGCAAGCACTTCAGGACAAAATAAGATAAACTCGGTAAAAACAGAAAACTTTTGATTAGAAAGTCTGCTCGCACGTAGTCTGAAAAACTATCGATTGTGCCTCAAACAAACTTTATAAACGTTAATTTTTTGTTGCTGTTTTTTCATTCGTTTATTTGGGATTTCGAAAGAGAAGTAATGAAAAAAATGAGGTATCCAGTGATTCCAGTTTTTATATAATAAGTCTTACGAAATTCCTTTATTTTCTTTACCGTTTTTTGTAACCATATAAAGAGCGAAGAAAGATAACTTACTTTTTTCAAATAATCATAAAAAAATATTAAAACTGAAAAAAAAGAAACATTGACTGTAAAATATAATTTCCTATTAATCTGACAGTTCTGAGTAAAAATTAAACTTACGCGTTCAGGTTTCTATTAATGATGTATCAGGA